GAACTAACGAGGAAATATTTTTGTATAGCGAAAATGATATTGTTCATACTGTAATATACATATATAATATATAATAATATATATAATAATAATATAATAATATAGTAATAGTTTTTTCCAAAAATATTAGTATCTCAAAAAACACAAATAGTTCTAGCTTTGTATCATTCTGCACCTGGATTAATAATGTTTTCATGAATGCTTAAGTCTCTTTTATACTATATACTTAATTACACAATTATCGGCAAATAAATTAAATAACACTAGGTACAACAGTAAAACTAATAAGTCTACAAAAACTATGAAATCTCTAACCTGAGATTTGAAAGCTTATTATAAACAAAAAAGTCTACAAATAGTAACTTCAAAAATGTTCTGAAAAAATTCTTCAACAAAGCTGAGAATGGACATAAAAATTGTCAATTGTATTGTTGTAACCGTGATCTGTCTCGTTCGAGAGTTAATTCACGAAGAAAAATTAACAGATTCATTAGCACTACATTGATATAGTCCTCTCATTAGACAAGTTGCTTCACGTGTTCACATGGATCATACAATAGGAGTTCACTTGTCTCGCATCATTAACTATGATTCTTCGTTCATTTAACCCTTTGTACTCAGGTTCCTTATCACAGGGTATATGACAAGATCGCTGATTAGTTACGACACTTTCGGAAATAAAATGTTTTTCTTTTATGTGATTCGGAATCAATGAAATCTAAATCAAATTCTAGCGCATGAAATAACATTTCTTAAAAATTTAGTCACGTCCAAATCGAAATATTTTGTACGCCACTTTACTTGATCTAAATCTTCACTTTTAGTTACATAAACAAACTAAGTCACTTAACGAACCATTTAACAACAGAAAAAGACGATAGAGGATTTTAGACGAGATTCTTGATTTTCGCGGATCGATTAAGCAGTTAACGATATAAATTCGATCACTTCATAAGCACCTTCAAGTTGTTGGTTGCTGATCTGTGGAAATTCTCCGAGTGACAAGGATTAATAATAGTTCACGTTCATACAAGAGGATTCAATCGAGGATGAAGTTGAGTTAACTGGACTTCGCCAAAATTTATTTTTACAGAGACGGAGTTCCGCGATACAGTTGAACTCCATTTATGCGAACACCGGTATTAACTGCAGTCGAACTACGGGAATCCACTTATATGAACGCGAACTCCGGTTACAGTAACGCAAAGTTGCAACTAGTGTAGGCAATCAGTCGACTCCTGTTATATGAACTGCTTTTCTCCCGACAAGTTCACATAAATAGAGTTTTGCCCCGGGAGATCGGTGCAAGAAGTTCCGATTTTGAGAAAACATAAAAATTGACTAAGCAATAATGCAGTTCCCTTTTCTGTTTCCGATTAATCTATTGTTAAATTTATTCTACTTTAAAACTGTCAACTCGAATTTAATATAATAAGTTTTATATAGAAACTCGTTTCTTTTGTTGTCAACGCAAGCAGAACTTCTTACCCCGTCGTGGAGCAAATTGTTAACGCTCTGGGATAAGTTTCATACTAAGAAATAAATGTTACTTTCTAATGAGATATTTCGTTCTCTGACGCAATAAAACACAATTTTATTAGTTAAACTTGTTTATTAACTTCGGATTGACAGAAATACATATATATTTTTGAATGAAAAAAATATTATAAAAATATCTTTGGCACAGACATTAATGCAGTGGAATGAAAATAATAATCTAATATTACAATAATTTAGGAACATCTTGTTCGAGATAACCTTTTAAACGAACAAAAATTAGATATCGTCAAACGACTCGTCAGAATCACAGTGCGAACAAATATAAATCAAAATATTTCGTTTCTATATTCAAATATTCTAATAAATGCTATTCTAACGTGTTCTCAAATTTTATTTGATTTATAAGAACAGAACGATAGACGATATGGACATTAAATAATTGAATTATACAAAGAAATAGTGACTGCGAAATATTTACTTACCTGATTTGTGACTATTATCTTGTCTAAAACTACACAATTCGCTGTAGCGGACGCTACTAAAATGTTTGACAT